CTGTATTTATTTGTTTCTTTTTATTTTCTTTTTTATTTTTTATTTTTTTTTTTTATTTTGCGTGTATAAGAAGAACAGGTAAGTTTGAATAAAATATAATATAACATTATTAAGAATGTCGCATAACTTTTGCAAACTTTCTCGTAGGCCTGATTTACCAGAGACACCCTATATATATATATATATTAGGCTAAAATCTAATAACGTGTGGATTTTGTTCAAAGTGTGAAAAGGCTCATATTTATCGGACAAGTGGAATAGATTTAAATCGCAGTAATTCATTCGTTGTGTTGCATTTTGCATAATCCAAAAAATATGCTCCATTTTTTTTGGGGGGGGGGGAGGGTTTTTTTGCTTCTCATAATTCACATTTTTATACAGTAGATTCTTGTTTTTTTTTTTTTTTTGTTCATTCAATTCTTATTCTTACGGATAATTAAATGCGCATAAGATTTGGACAAATTTAAGTGTTATTTTTTGTTGTTGTCATTAAATTTAGTAATATTTTGTGCGTAAAGAAGAAGAAGAAGAAGAATTTTGATTGTAAAAGTGTCTTTGGAAAATCTCGGATGAAAATTAAATAAAAAAAAAAAAAAGAACAAGCATAAAGCAGATTTTTAATAGACAAAATTTGTTCGTTGAATTTCAAACTAACAACACACAACTGAGTGAGTGAGATAACAGATACTATTACATGATAATTACGAGAAACTCATTTTTAAACGTACACCATACCACGCATTATTGCAATAATCTATATACTTAGAAGTTAACAAATATAATATTACATAGAATGACATTAAAAGAAAATCTTACGTAAAAAAAAAAAATAAAGAAAAAAAAACAAACAAACTGATTAACATACAAAAGAAATAAATATAATTATTCTCACAATTGTAATTGACACGATGTTGAATTAAAATTATCTAACGATAAGAAAGTAGTCTCTCGTAATTATCAAATTCACCATTCTCCTCAAATGTGTTCGTAAATTCCATGATAATCTCTTGACAACAGATCTTATTCACATAATTCTTTAATTTATCCTTACACATATGTGTACGTATGCATTATACATAAACAAGATATCCAAATATTGAATTTGATTTATTCATGAAAAAAACAAACAAACAAATATATATTTTCTATGCAATTTGTGCAAACGATATCGAACCATTAATAAACAACAAATTGTTTACAGCACCAATATTTCAATTTATATAATTATTCATTTATTCTTAAAAATATCTAAACATGAATTGATTATATTAACACTTTAATGGCCGCTCACACAACATGTGTTGTTATTTTATTTATAACTTGTTATATATAAAACTAGGGGTGTCCCACTACACGCGTTGCTGTGGCTCACAATCAGTCCGATACACACGTCAATGAATTACCTTATACTGCCATCTGTTAGAATCTTATCGAACTAACAGAGATAATGTTAATGACTCTTTTTTTTTAAATAAACAAATAATTCGCAATAAAATAATATATTGCGATTATAAATTGAGATATAAGCTGTCCTATCTTTCAAGTTGGATGAAACTGCACACAGTGTACAAAATTGAATTAAAATCGGTTCAATAATTTAGGAGTACATTGCGAACAAACAACGTGACACGTAATTTATATGCATTAAGATAAGATTAATTTCATTGTTAAAATTGTTGTTTTGTTGTTTTACGTTAATATTTTCACGAATAACAATAAAGTTTTTTGTCAATTAATTCTTAAATAAATATTATCAAACCATTGACGACATTTGACTGCGTACACGTGTGCGGCCATTAAAGGTGTTAATATTAATTATTAATTAAAATATGAACATAGAATATAAATATTCTTAATAGCAGACTATTCGTCATTTTGTTATCTACGAGATTGCATAGAAAATACATTGTTTCATTTTTGTATCATCAAAACTGAAGGAGTTGAATTAACAACCACCCCCTTTTTCAAATAAGATACCTTGTATATATATATATACATATATAAGCATAGTTCGTGACATTAATTTTCATCGATACCGAGTGGAATTACGTGGCCATTTTGTTCGTGGCCAACACACACACATACACACACACACATACACACACACACATACACACACACAATGAACGAGATTTCTTTAGATAACATTTGTCAGTACCACGACCAAAGCGGAAGTGGGGAATTGGGTAAAGTATCACATCTGGACCAACCAACCAACCACCACCCCTCCCCTCGCAACCCGAAGACATCAAAAATCAAAAATAAAGGAGGGATTTTCAGAGAGGGGGGGTGGATGGGGAGCATTGAAGGAGTCTTTTCTCACACGAGTTTTACCCCTCGGTTCGTTTTTTTTTTTCCTGTGTTCCCTCACCCTTGACATTCATCAATAAATTTTTTTTTTTTCTTTACAATTCTATTCACGTTAGTTCGTTCATTTATTTTGTCCCCCGACAAATGTTTAAATTTATATTTTTAATATATTTTATTATAATAATAATAATAATAATGTGTATTTTTAGAGACAACAAAGTTAAACAACAAAATTGCAAAATTATTTTTTTAATAGTCAAAGGAGGAGGAACTCGAAAGATTGAACCGAGGTTTCGTTAGACTCCATTTTGTTTTTGTTTTTTTGCGCGCTAGTTTCTTTCATTTTTTTCTTTTCTTTTTTTTATATTAAATATTATATATATGTATATATATATAATATTTATATTTATATATGATCTATTAATATAATATCCAATGGTCGCCGCAAATTAATATTATTATCATTAGTTGTCATTTTTAGCTTGATTATTATTAAATATTTTTATTATTATTAATTATTAATATTATATTATTATTATTATTATTAATATTATATTATTATTATTATTATTATTATAATTATTATTTTCATTTAGTTTCGCTGTGAGGGTGCACTGAGCATAGCCGATACTCGAGAATCGTTCGTAGAAGTTTCTCTGTTGGTTTTTTTTTGTAATAATAAAAAAAAAATAAATAAATTTTATGGGGGTTTTTTTTTTTTTTTAAACAAAATATCCTTGTTGGATTGTAAATCCCATGTAGAGAGATAGCACTTTGTTCTCGTTTATCTGAGAATCATGAAAATCGTGTTGTTCATTGGTAACATTTTGAAATTTGCGATTCATGATCGATCACCATAATGAAATTGAATTCCACCATAGATTATACAAACATGAGTGGGTGTTAAATCGTTTAAACAACATCGAGACGTTCCTCGAACTCGACTTAAGATATATTCATCAAGTATTTATCTGTAAAAGTGTGTAAATGTGTGTAAATGTGTGTGCGCAAAAATTCTTTTTTCTTTTCTTTTTTTTTTTCTAACCTATAAATAAAGAATCGTATCAGCCGATACAAAATTATACACACAAGTATTGTATATATATATATATATAATGTATATAATTTTATATAATTTAATTATGTCTTTCTTTTTCTTTTTTTTTTTTATGATAATCGATTATCATAATCGATCGAAGAACTCGAATCGCTTGCGCTTGTTCAATCGCGTGCAAAAAGCCGATCGTTCTATTATTAATAATTTATATTTTTTTTATCTTATCATATCTTATCTTAACTTTTGTTTTCATCTTTTTTAATTTTTTACTTTTTATTTCCTTTTTTGTGTTTTTTTTTCTTTTTTTCATTTATTTATTTATAATTTTGTAACATCGGATTATTGTGCACCAACACAGCGAGTTCAAATCTATCCCTCGTAATATTTAAAAGGGGAAGCGTATCGTGTTCGCGCGAGGTTTTATTTAACTAACATTTATATATATCTATATATATATATATATATATATTCTTTTTTTATATATATATATAATAATTTAAACATAAATAAAAATAATAAAAAAAAATTTAAATATAAAAAACAGAATAAAAAAAAAACAAAAACAAAGAATATTGGGATCTCCGGCAGGAGGGGCGTGGCGTAGCAAAAAATTCGACCTATCTACTCTAATTTGGAATTTAGCCACCAAATAGCGTATTAATGTGCTAGAGAGATCACACGTGACGTAGCAATTCGGCCTATCTTCTATAATTTTGAATTTAGCCACCAGATAGCGTATTCATGTGCTACAGATCCCAATACGTTTAACAATTAATTAATTAATTAATTATAAATAAAATAATATAATCACAGATCAATATGAATATTCTCGTATGACGAGAATATTCGTTAAATTACCACGTGTGGTTGTTCAGGGGCGGGGGTGTGTGTGAATTTTGTTATAATTCTTGTTTTTAACTATTAACCCCTTGAGTACTGAATTTATATTTGACAATGTTCATGCATATGTAATTTAATTTGTTGTTATATGAATTAATATGTCAAAGTATTTGACATTTTTATTTGAAATCTATTTTTTTTTAGGTCCTACGACAAATTCTCTGTTCATGTTTGAAAATAAAATCAAATATTAAATTATTATTCATCATTTGAAYAATTAATTAATTGAATTACTTTGGAACTTTTGTCAACATAGTTGGCAATGTTTTTCTATTCCAATTTTAAGAAATGGGGCCTTATCCCTCCCTAGTGACAAAAAATTGAACTAATGGTTTGTACGAACGGACCAAAATTTCTCGTTAGACCTTATTATTATTTATATCGTTGATATAAATATATTTTTGCAAAATAACATTTCAATTATGAAATATAAATATAAATATATTTTATAAATTGAAAAAGAAAATATAAATATATTTATATATTTATAATATATATTTTATATATTTTTTATAATATAAGCTTTTTAAATTCAGATGACGAGTCAGACTCGTCGTCCAACGTAACTTTGCCCAAATAAACAGATGACGAGTCTCACTCGTCAATTGTACCCAAAGGGTTCAAACGAAACGAAGTTACTTTTTTCTTTTCTAATTTACACATCCGTTTTGTTTTGTTTTTTTTTTTTATCTTTGAATTCTTCGTATTCATTCTGTTACAACAATCTAATTATTTTTATTAAGATACTTTTTTTTTTTAATCTTTTTTTTGGTTCTAATCAGTGTGGTATATTATATTCGTCGATGTTATTTAATTTCGTTATAAATTTGTTAAAAAAACTAAGAAACGATTTTTTTGTTTTTGTTTTCTTTTTTTTTTCGTTACACAAGTAAGTTTTTTTTTGTGACTTATTTTTTTTTTTTTTCTTTAAATTCTCTCTACAAATTTGTTTGTCCTTCGTAAGAATTTGTTGATATGAAAAAATTTGTCGTATCAATTTACGACGAATTTACGCAAGTGTTATCTATTAGTGTAATTTATTAGTGTATGTGTGTGTGTGTGTAATTGTCTCTGTTGTATGTGGGGGGTGGGGTGGGGGTTCGAGGTGTATTTTTGCTGAGTGGTTTATTGAAACCTCGCGCGAGCGCGGTGCGGAAACGCGGAAATTTCATAAAATATTTCTTTTTTTTTTACTTTTTCATTTTTTTTATGTTTACTCCACTTCGTTTTTTTTATTTATTTATTTATTTTTTTTTCAATTACTCGAAGAAATTGACCGTCAAAATGTTTGTCGTTATTTATGTCAAATTTATGTCAAAAAATTGACAGTAATATGAGTGTTACGAAATTGATTTGAATAAAATAAATAATTATTAACGAGATTAATTAAATAAATTATTTCTATTGTTAATATTAAAATAAAGAATTTTAAAGGAAGATAATTAAAACATCAATTATATGTTGAAATATAATTGAAAATAATTGAAAATAATTTGTAGTAAAATAAATGTAAAAGTGTTGACAAAAATAATTGAAAATAATTTGTAGTTAAATAAATATAAAAATATTGATAATAATAATTGAAAATAATTTGTAGTAAAATAAATATAAAAATATTGACAAAAATAATTGAAAATAATTTGCAATAAAATAAATATTAAAATATTGACAAAAATAATTGAGAATAATTTGTAGTTAAATAAATATAAAAGTGTTGACAAAAATAATTGAAAATAATTTGCAATAAAATAAATATAAAAGTGTTGACAAAAATAATTGAAAATAATTTGTAGTTAAATAAAAATCAAAATATTGACAAAAATAATTGAAAATAATTTAGAATAAAAAATAATTTGTGTAAAACTAAATTATGACGGTATTTGTGCTGTTGCTACTACTGTATATATATATGCACACAATTAATAAAATTGTATTGAAATAATTCTTCGAGTAAAGAAAAACGTGTGTAGAGTCATCATGGACATGTTTTTTTGTTTGTTTCTTTCCTATCTTTTTTTTTGTTTTGTTTTAATCACAAACAACAGATTCAATTTCTGTTTGTTGAGATATCGTGATTTCATCTTCTTTATCATTAGTGTTATTATCATCAACATTAGAAGCTTCCTCAATTTGATTAATATTATTTCCATCTTTATCAACAGTTTCTATCCTTTCCTCTTGTTCTTCAATAGGTTCTAAAACTTCTTCCTCTCGAGCAAAACTATCATCTTCCGATTCCTCGACAACAACGACGACTTCAGCATCCTCGTTAGAGTCCGAACCACCACCACCTTCCCTTATCGTTTCTTCACCCTCAACCTCTTGTATCTCGATGGACGTTAAACTGTTGTTATCCTCTTCATCACCACGAAATGCAGCTATTACCCTTTGTTCAACGTTCAATTGTCTAACAGCATTTTCAAGATTCTCCCTGAGTATATTGCTAGCTTCATTTTCAATTTCTTCTTGCCACGAGGTTGGTGTAAATATCATACGTACTGTTTGAAATAATTGCCTAAAACCTAATTTCTTGTACAAACTCTGGCTGGCGTCGTTTTCCGGACGTATTACCACGAACGGACTGTAACCCCTTTCGGCTACACGTTTCGTCAGGTACCTAAAAAACAAAAAAAAAAATCAAATATAAAACAAGTCATTCCAACACCATTCCATTACTTCTATTTTGAATCAATAAAATCATATGACCCTTAAAGACATTATTACCTAGCTAATTTTGTCCCATAACCTTTCCTACGATACTCTGGTTTGGTCTGCATCGAGAACATAGCACCGTAATAAGATTGTACCATCCACGCTGCTAAACTGTCCTTGCAAAATACACCACCGGCAGGTAAGGATCTAATCAATCGTAGAAATACCTCGTGACTTTCAATATCATTAGCAGGATACAATTCATAAATTCCTTCAGCGTGTTCCGCTTTAAGTGGTAAAACTTGTACATCAGGATCATTGTCTTCCTCAGTTTCTTCCCTTTGATCTAAAAGTTCTAAATCCTCGCAAGCCCAGACATCAACGGTTACCATATCAACGTTTCCAATATCCTTGTAAAGTTCAACCAATCTATTAGCGATGTCTATGTGAACGAAATTAATATAAAGTGGCCTTGACCAGTCGATCAGTATATCTTCATCTCGTAGCAGATTCAGTTGTTCAAGATGATCGTTAGGACAGAATACACCCACGCTTTCGTACAACAAACCGTGTGGCTGTAAAATAAAATCAAAATATTAGATTATGAATTGTTTGATGAGTGAACAAATATTCTACAACCTTTTTTGTTTTTTTTTTTTTTTTTTTGCCATCAATAAAATTAATCGATAGAAAATTCTTTGGCATCCACAATGTCTGCATCAAAATGTTGGACACTTAAAACACGTAATTACTGAGAGAGAGAGAGAGAGAGAGAGAGAGGTAATATAATTCAAGATGAAATTAACAGTTTTGTCAACGTGCTAGGACAGTGAAACGTGAAAGTATAAGAAGGAGAGAGAAAGAAGACACACCAAATTCGAGGACAATGTTGAAATTTGGCATAAGGCCAATAACGAATATGGGCCAATCCTTGTGTACTTTACCTCCCCCACTTATTTCAACCCCTCAACTTCCTCCTCCTTCTTCTTCTCCTTCTTTTTCTCTTTCTTTTTTTTTTCTCTCTCTCTCTCTCTCTCTCTCTGTCTCTCTCTCTTTCTCTTGTTGTATTTCTTTCTCTCTGGCTGTCTATTTCTCGTTTGAAATACGTCCTTTCCAGACACAATTCATAGCGAACTAGTAAACTGACATTGAATGCCTCTTTTCAATGTATTTGTCTTATCGTATAGAGTTGGTTATGTATATGTATTCGATCATGGATGTCATCGCAGTTGAATTTTTACGATTTCAAACTGCACCGTCCTTGTTTAAATTGCTTTCAACTTTATTTTCATTTTAATTGAGTGTGTGGGGGCTTTTATTCGAGCCAAGAAAAAAATTATTATACATATATATGTAGAGTTATATAAATATATTTTTACTGTTATTTATATTATTTTTTTTTATATAATTTATTTTTATAGAATTTTGTATAGAATTTATTTTATATAAATTTTAATATATTAAAATATATCTATTTTTACATAATTTATTTTATGTAATTTTTTATATAATATAATTTTGTATAGAATTTATTTTATATAAATTTTAATATTACAAATTTTTATATATTAAAATATATAAATTATTTTTTATATATATTAAATTTTTTTTTATATAAATTTTTATATATTAAATTTGTAATATTTAATATATAAATTTAATATATATAGAAATTTAATAGTTAACTTTTAATAAATTAAATTATATAAATTATATTCATTTATATATTAAATTATATAAATTATTTTATATATCTATATATATTAAATATTGATTTATTTTATATAAAATACAAAAGAAAATATAAAATTAATATGAAAATAATATTTCAACTTACAGACAGAGTCATTCCTGGGAAGTGTAGACATATTTGTATGTTCGGCCACTCGTTTGGCACATAAAAATAGAATTCCCATACTTTGTCCTTCATGTAGGTCAACAGCGTCTGATGGAACTGAAAAACGAAAGATGATTTTTTTTTGTTGAAAAAAACACAAAATAGAGAATAATATTAATATAATATTTAATAATACTATTTAATCGTAAGAGAAAAACATATACATATACATATACATATATATATATTATAATATTTATTTTATCATTTATTAATTTTATAAACGCATAATATATATTATTATTTTGTTGTTGTTTTATATTCAAATATTTACTCTCATTAAAAATAAAATGAGACACGATTAAACGTAAGTGAAAAAAAAAAAAATAGAAAAAAGAGCAACGAAAGGAATTAATCAAAATGAAAAGTAAAAAAAAAAGAAAAAATAAAATAAAATAAAATAGAAAGAAAAAAAAAATAAAAACATGGATTGAGATATTTAACAAAGAAGCGAATAAAACGGAATTAGACTGAGGCAATACTCGAGACATTTTAAATCTTGAAATAAACCAAAAATGGTGTTTAATGTAAACTCCTGTAATATGCATTTCCAACCAATCGAAAATTGTTTAATTATTTCTACGAAAGAATTTGGTATTTTAAATTGTTATGTTTTTTTAGAATTTAATACGCGATCTTTAACATTAATTGTGATTAAACAAACAAATTTATAATATAATATAATATATTATATAAATTATCGAATAGAAGTTTATTTTTCAGGTATACCCTGTTAGGATGTTTACCCCGAAGGCTCCCCCCCCCCTACATGTTCGTTCCCCTTGACAATATACTTAATTCTAATTATACCCTAATATAATATTAGGTATTAATATTAACAATATAAAAAACAATATAAAACAATATAAACAACATAACTATATAGACTATATAAAACTATAACATATATATATATATATATATATATATATATATATATATACTTCA